AGAGCCAGAGGTGCTTTAAGTGTCATCCACAAGGTGAAAGGAGGATGCCAACAGGACTGTCTTCCCAACTGTGGGAAATAGCATACTCACATTTATTGCAGCTTGACTGATACAATGGGAAAAATTATTCCTCTTCTATGTGGGGGTGAGAGTTGCCATTTTTGAAGTCACCACATTAAATAAATGAAGGTGGTAGTAATAATATTTATCCAAGCTTTGCTTCCAACAGGGGTCAGACAGACTGAGCTTTCATTAAATGAAGGAGATGTCAGGAGCACCAAATGGACTCAAGTTTCCCTAGAATCCTAGACAAAGTGCGTCTGTTTCTTAGCTGTGGACAGGAGGCTACTTTCCAGATGTTATATTTAGCTTCAAGTAATCTCCAACACAGCTTCATGCAAAATATATAGTATGTCCCAGTAGGTATAACCACAAACTAGAGGGCCAGTAGGGAGTATCCCTTAAGAGGGTTCAGCAGCATAGAGGGGCCAATTGTGTAGTCAAATTGACAACCCCAAACTAGCTGAATTAGCTATGAGCCAGATTCTTGGCCATACCTCATATTTAATGAGTCTTTGTTTCCTTTCTTACTAGCAATTCTATGCTTGGGGAGAAAAACATGCAGCCTACTTCAGGACAACCCTGAGCGCCTGCCCACAAGCAGGTAAGAGGAACAATAGAGTTAAATGTTTTTGGGAGATTTGTGGCAAAAGAAAATGTTAGTCCTACTCCCTGGGTGACTTTCTAGATTCAATGGCAAAGAGTAAGGCCTCTTCCTTGCACACCACACCTACAGTTTCCTGAGACAGCATGTAGATGAAAACACCAGCTTCTAGATCCAGATGACAGGACTAAAACACCAGCCTCGCTATACATTTTGCTTAATGTCTTTAAGTCTTAGTTTCCTATTTTATAAAAGAGATAATAATAGTAACTCCAAATACATTGTAAAAATTAAAGGCGATAATGTATACAAAAATGTTTAGCATAATACTTGGCAATATGGATTTTAAAAAGCTGACTTTTCTTGTTATAACCTTTGTCACTAAATTTCATAGCCTAGCATAAAACACAGGCATCAGCAGTAAAATCAGAAATAAAAGTACCTTTTCTAAAGCCTATGTCTCTGAAGAAATAGATATTTACTACTAGATTCAAATTTTCTGGTAAAACAAAAAATACTATCTATACTATGATTCCAGTTTGCTATCTCTTGGTTGCTGGTCACTATAAGAGCCTCTGAAATGATACATCGTTCTCCAACGTGACCTTTCTACTCCATTCTATACTCACACTTCACTTGTATTTGTCTTTATCTCTGGGTCTACAATTTATCTCTCAAAATATAACAGAAGTAACCCAACAACCAGAAGAGATCTCTCTAGTAAAAGACAGAAGAAACCATGGAGATCTATAACCCAAATTGGTTTTTGTGAGTGGTTTGTTGTTTTGTTTTCTAACTTTAGGGAACTGAAGCACATAACAAAGTCCAGGTCTTGAGCTCAGTAGCAGATCCAGCATGAGAAAGGTCCCTTGGATAAGGCCTCTGCTCAGCAGCACAAAGCTTCATAAAACAGAAAGGGTACCCTGACACTTTTCTTCTGTCTTTTATCTGATTTCTCTATCTTTACCTGTGGAATTCTAATTCTTCAGATGCAATAGACTCTAAACAAGACAGTGGAAAACTGGGGTTTGAAGAATGTGTTCTTGCCTAGAACTAGAAAGCAGAAAGGCCCTCATCCAATCCAAACAGAATGAATCTGTTCTTATCTACTGGCCAACTTGCTAAAGGGTTCTTTGTATTCATCAGGGCCCCACGAGGAAGAAAAAAAGGGATTATCCACCTTATAGAATAGTAAACATTGGCTATTTAACAATTCTATTTATATCTCTAATTAGTAAAAATATATTGAAACCAGGTTATAATAATCAAGAAACAGTCTTATGAGCTGCATTTACACAATATTGAAATATACCTAAAGACAATAATGAGAGAATTCTATTCATACACAGTATGAATCTACACACAAACAAAGTATGCTGTTAGAAATCAGGGCTGTGGCTGCTCCTAGGGCTTCAGAAATTGGGAAAGGAAGATGAGGCTTTTAGAATACTGAAATGTTCTGATTCCTGACCAAGAAACTGATTACATAGGTGTATTCTGTTTGTAGAAATGTACTGAACTACAAACTTATCATATGGTTGTTTTTCTTCTGTAATAGCGGTTCTCAACGTCAGGATTGAATGACCCTTTCACAGGGATTGCATAAGAGCATCAGAAAATATAGATATTTACATTATGATTCAGAACAGTAGCAAAACTACAGTTAGGAAGTAGCAGCGAAAACAATTTTATGGTTGGGGTCACCACAACATGAGGAACTGTATTAAAGGTCACAGCATTAGGAAGATTGAGAACCACTCTTCTACAAAGTATCACAAACAATCTTGAGAAGTAAATTCTTCCTTACATCATCAATGTAAGAAAACAGCTTACAGAGGTCAACCCTGAGGTCCTGGTTAGTAATGTCATTAATGGAAGGGTTTTTCCTTCTAGAGGTGACATCCCCAGGTCTCTGGTGAAATGTAGATGGGTACTTGTGGAGTCAAGAACACTAATGGCTTTGATATCTGCCTATTGCTGGTACAGACTTTTCGGAGATGTGGAGAGGCTATAAATCTCTCTTAGCTTATTCCTCTCTGTGGTGATGTAATGAAAAATGTCTCCTATAGTCTTGGACATTTGAGTACTTGGTCTCCAGCTATTGGTGCTATTTGAGTTGTTTAGGTGCTACCCTTGAGGGAGGAACTAGTCATTGGGGTTGTGCTTTGAGAGCAAGCCTCACTGCACTTCCAGTTTACTCCCCACTTCACACTTGTATTAGAGAAGTGAGCTCTAAGCTTCCTGCTCTTGCCACCATGCCTGATGTCTACTGCCATGCTTCTCCACCATGATGGACTCTTATTGCTCCAGAACCATATCTCCAATAAGCCCCTCTTTCTATAAGGTGCCTTTTGTCACACTGTTTTATCATGGCAACAGAAAAGAACTAATATATTCTAAGTCTAGAAGAAAAGGAAGCTGACAGACTGCCATGAAACTGCCTCTCATGAAAGTACTGTACTCAAATGAACAGAGAAAATGGAGGTAGAAGCTATCGGTTTTGCAGGGCTGTCTAAGATAGTCTCAGCAGTGTCAAGGTCACAAAGAGCAAAAGAGATCACAGTCGAGGGCCAATCTAAAGAAGTTATTTCAGTCATAGCAACACATTACTGGGTGTTACAGAGAAATTCAGATTAATAGTAAGTAAGCTACAGCAGATGCTGGAAACAATGGAGATGGTAGAAAGTGTCCCCAACAGCAGAGTCACATCAGACTGTCAGTGAGCATTAAGAGAAGTTACCTTTCCCCCTTTTTCAGTATCTGTTCCCGCCTCTAAACACAAAGGACATGCCTTCATAGATGCAGTTAAGTACACAGAATTGCACTCAGTCCTTTGTTCAGACCAGTAGTGGAAGAAATCCTGTACTAATTCCATGTCTAATCAAATCTGAAACATTGTCTAATGTTAAAAACTAGGAAATTGATAAAGAGCTATAACTACATCAATGACAATTCTGATTATTAGATTATCTTCTTACTTAGCCTCTAATCTTAACACTGGATGTTGTCATCTAGAAGCCAATGTATAAATAGCTGTATATATCCTCTCCCTATGACATTCACTTTCTTGAAATTCTCTGAGGAATGTCAGACATGGTATATGTGGTGGTTTGAATAGGATGCCCCCCATAATCTCATAGATTTGAATGCCTGATCATTAAGGAGTGACACTACTTGAGTGGGATTACAAAGTATGATCTCATTGGAATAGATGTGGCCTTGTTGGAGGAAGTATGTCACTGGGGGGTGAACTTTGGGGTTTTAAAAGCCCAAGCCAGTCCCAGTCTCTCTCTTTGCCTGCTGTCTGTGGATTCAGATGTAAGACTCTCCGCTCCTTTTCTAGCACCATGTCTGTCTGCATGACACCATGTTTCCCACTAAATGGAAATGGACTAAACCTCTGAAACTGTAAGCAAGCTCCAGCTAAATACTTTCTTTTATAGAAGTCGCTGTGGCCATCGTGTCTTTTCACAGCAAAAGAACACTGACTAAGACAGCTACTACGTACAGTAGTCAGGGTCTCTGCTACCATTTATAACCAAGCCTCATGAAAGAATTAGTTCACCGAGAGCCTAAGAAAAGAGGGTTCCTGAGTTCCCAAGAGGCTAGTTCCAGCACTAACAGGAAAAGGGGTATAATTACTTAAGATTATGACAATTGAGGCTGGAGAGATGGCTCAGAGGTTAAGAGCACTGGTTGCTTTCCCAAAGGTCCTGAGTTCAATTCCCAGCAACTACATGGTGGCTCACAAATATCTGTAATGAGATCTTGTGTTCTCTTCTGGCCTGCAGGCATACATGCAGACAGAACACTGTATACATAATAAATAAATAAAATAAATAGATCTTAAAAAAAGATTATGACAATTATTTTCCATTTTTCTTTAGCCAAATTGCTCAATCCATATACAATAAATTGAGGTAACAATCAAGTTTCAGAAAGTAGTAAGGTGTCTATGATAAGAATGATCAAATCCTTAAGTCCAACTGGCTAAGACAGAACTTGGAAAGAAAACTAATTCAAAATATAAACATATAGGAATTAGTAAGTGAACTAGATGAGAAAACATGCATAACACTAAAGAGCCCTAATTCCCAAGAGTTTTGCAAAGCACAAAGGAAGCTGCCAGATCAGAATCAATATATAAAGCTGATAGATAATGGCGCTGGTCCATGGCTGTGTCTTCCCAGGATTATTCTTTTTCTTTAAGACTATGTGGTATAGAATGGTCATGGAAAACTTGTTAAGTGAAAGAAAATATCCTTTCTCTTATTTACAAAGCTGTGCCACTGCTCCAACCACGAATCTTTGTGACGAGGAGCACCTATCCATATACCTTTTTAAAGAGTCTTCCTGAGTCCTCGCTGACTTGAACAAATCGAGGAATTATATTATTCAGGTAGATGTCACTCAGGGTGGTATGATCCCTGCTCTCCCGCTTCACCTGGTTTAAGAGGAGGTTCCAGCAGTTTACTGGAGAGAGAACATTCTGGTCCTTCCTGCATAGAAATGGAAGAAAAAAAAAAAGTGTTAGTAAGCAGGCAGGGCCAACAGCTATGATTATAGTTCACATCATAAAACTCACAGTAATCCAAGCAGAAGTGGAAACTAAGATATCTTTTCTACAGCCTACTGCTATGGTTTGAGTGGGAAATGCTCCCTGCCCCAGGCATATGTATTTTTGTACTTTTCATACCCCAGCTACTATCTGGGGAGGTTGGGCTTAGCTGGAGGAAAAGGGTCGCCATGGGAGTGAACTTTAAGGTCTATACGTCAATTCATTTTAATGATTAGAAAACTGAAGCTCACAGAAATTGTCATTCTCTGGAAACAGTAAAGATCAAGAGGAAACCAGAGAGCCACAGTCCACATCAGAGAGCTAAAGTCATCTGGCTTATCTTTAGGGTCAGAGATAAAGCTAAAGAGCTTATCTATCAGCGGGCTCTGGTGGTGCACACCTTTGATACCAGCAATCGGGAGGCAGAGGCAGGTGGATCTCTGTGAATTCGAGGCCAGCCTGGTTCACACAGTGAGTTCCAGGACAACCTCCAAAGCAATACAGAGAAACCCTGTCTGGGGGGGGGGGGAGAGAAAGATGGCTCAGTGAATAAGAGACTGGCTGCTCTTGCAGACAACCTGGGTTCAGTTCCCAGCACCTACATCAGGTAGTTCACTACCACTCCTAACTCTGGCTCCAGGGGATCTGATCCCTCTTCTCACATCCATGGGCACCTGCACTGTACACAAACCCATACACATGCACATACATGTAATTAAAAGTAAATTTTAAAAATGATCTTATCAGAGACAAAAATCTCTGGAATACTACAGACTAAAACCTCTACAAGTTTTCCCACAGTAGGATTCCATAAAAACAACATTGAAGATATCTGCCATGAAAAATTCACAGAAGAATGTCTAGTTCCATGTAACACATGTAAACACATATGAACCCCCATAAACACCAATCCCTAAAAAGTAAACAGAATATCCAAAAGTTATCTTTCTTACTTGAAAAATTCAGGAAGCCAAGAAAATACTTGTGTTGCAGAAGAGATGACTAGTCAAAAGAAGTTCACTAAACTCATAGCCAGTGTGCACCTACAGAAGGGATTATCACTTACAAAGAAAGGCACTGGACAAGACAAACCCGTGCAACTGAATCATGAACATCAATTTGAAGACATGAGCCAGTTTTCCTCCCTCAGTAGAGATTACATCTATGGATACTCAAACACATAACAACAGACGACTAGAAGGACTTCTTAGATGGCCAAGGAAAAAGCAGCTCCATAAGCATAAAATCTCTACATTATTCATTACCGCCCCCCTCATATTTCCTCTGGTTGCTTCAATAAGCTCACATACAAAATCAACACTTGTCCTATCAATTTTCTACCAGCTCATCTACAAAATGGACAGTCCCCAATCTAGCTCCTGAAAGATCTTCAATAGATCTCTGCTAAGCTCCCAGAAGCTCCTCCAGCAATTAATTAATAACATGTACATTTATGGCTTTGCAGAGTACAAGCCTGGTTTTAGTGTATGACTTAATCTTCTACATTGTTGTACTGAGGTTTTCCTATAGGTCCACAATCTATTATTTGCCCTTTCTCAAGGTTGTTGTGGATCAGCTGTGATGATGGATGCAAGAGAACTTTAGCAACAACACTATGCAAATGTGAGAAATATTATTATTTTCATTTCCAAACATGTGAGGACTCAGCTTTCATCCATTTCCAACATGCTCCTCAACAGGCACTGGGCCACAGCCAAGAATGCAGCCTGCTAAAAGTGCATAACCCTTAGCAAATCACAGTTGGGATAAGACGGTGACAGGCAATTAACCAAGCAGCTGTATGTCTCTGGGAAGATACCAAAAGGGAAACAGACTTCAATATTCCACTGTACTTTCCCAAAGAGACAAGGTAGAACAATGGTCCTGTGTTCCTCAGTGGGTACTGTGTGATGAGGTTGACAAAAAAATTCAAAAGGAGCCCAGAATCCCAGAAGCACCAGCAACTTCCAAAGCCCCAAAGCAGAACCCCTCTCAGACCTGCCAATTTCTAAAAAGCTGGCAATTATCAATGCATCTAAGAATATAATTTTTCACTTTCAGATAACAGTTCTGCAATGACAGACTAAACTCTGAATGAGTTAAATTCATCATTCAGTATATGTTATTAAGTCTCCAATGAGAAAGATAAAAAAAAATAGGTATGTGCATGATAAAAGAGCTCATTTAGTGATGGCTTGACAGCAAACTAGTGATGAGAAAGAAGCTGAATGCAAAGAAATAAAATAAATAAAAAATGCAAACCTAAATTCCCTCCTGGCACCTTGATTAAAATGAAATGAACTGAAGCAGTCAAAGATTATTTTATTCAGATGAGCGTTATTAGCCTTTCTGGCTTATTTTCTTTATTATGCATTTTGCTGATGCTGACAGAAACAGGCAAGCTCGATAGAGGAAAAGCTGCAGCGGATTTGCGGTCTGACAGTGCTGTGCATAAAATCAGACCCTTGCTGACCCAGATAAGCCAGAGGATGGATTGGATTTGCTAGGGAAGGTGTTAAAAGGAGGGGAGAATTTAAAAATTAAATCACCAAGGCAGAAACTGACTTAAAAAGATTCTGCCCGTAATGGTGGCTGCTGGTTGTGTGACAGTGGCAGCCTGAAGGTACCTTTCAAAGATAGGCAGGCAGACAGGGGGTGGGCACATTTCTCTGGATTTATCACAGCTGTAGCTTCAGCTTTGCCAACAATGAGATCAGAGTAGGAGTGCTCAGAGACAGGAACAGAGAAGTACCAAAAGCAAAACCAATATACATTATGTGCGAAGAAACAGTTTTCAAATTTTCAAGTTAGGGCCACATACTTGCCTAGACAGATGACTAGAAAGGATTCAAGAAGCCATCTATGTGTCTTACTCAAAACAGTCTAACTGTCACCTCTAATCAGGTTTGGGGAAAGAGCTATAGGGAATGGGGTTCTTGTAGCTCTGGAGTAGTCTCATGGAGCTTAGTTATAGCCTTGGTAGAGAGGTATGCCTTTCTTTCCCTCCTTCCAAACTAGGAATCTGCTTTGAAGTAGACACCTGGACCAACAATGTGTTAGATATCTGCTAAATGTTTAGCAACCACTTTCTGAGTATGGGACCTTAGTTCTTTTGGGTTAAGACAGAGAAATAAGGATGACCCCAAATATGAACCAATACAGACTCTAGCTGGAAATACCATTAGTCAGTTGTATTAGAGACCCTGCCTTCCCTTCAACCACCCCAGAACACCCTGATCTCAGGGAAGAGGAGACAGATAGAAGCTCTTCCCATAATTCAAGACAGTTAGTTCAGTGGGTCCCCTGAGAACAAACATGGGGTTCTATCCTAAACCCAAATCTCTGCCATCCCAAGTTCTTGCCTAGATTTTTGATATCTTATTTCTGATTCCTTCTGAGTTCCCAATCTCTTTTTATTTCATTCATTCACTCAACAAAAAATGAATAGTTAACAATGTGCCAAACTCTGTTCTGTGGACGAGAGCTGAAGGTTCATCCTTCTTGTTTCTTATATCGATCTGTTTGTGGACTTCTTAGATCTAAAACATGGCTTCTTTCTCCTAAACTGTCCTTGTGGGTGAAACCCTCATCTTGTTTATATTGGTCTTGCTGCTTGTATGAAAACAGATACAGAAGAACCCATTGACAAACCCTCATTTGACTAAATTAGAAGGTCTGTCTATTCACAGCCTTCTTTAGGACTTCTGCAGACCTGGAGCCTTCCCCTTCTTTACTCAACTCTCCTTATATAATGTAGCTATTATCTAAAAACTGGGGAACATGAACTATGAACTTAAATTCTGTTATTTGAACATTAAACAGTCCTCTCTCCAGGCACACCAAAATAATCAGTAATCAATATTAGGCATAGTTTTTGTCTATAGTCTCAGAATGTCAAAGGTAGAGGCAGGAAGATTGCTACAAGTTCCAGGCTAGCTAGAACTATACAATGATACCCTGACTCAAAAAATATAGTGATCACATCAAAAGGCCTGAAGAACTAATAATCAACAGAATTAAAATATAGCAAGAGAAAGACATGGCAAAGATATGAGCAATGACCAAAGAACTCCTCAGCTGAGAAAGTTTATAATCATTTTATTGAATTTTCAGTTGGATCCACATGTTCTACAGGGAGGTCTGTGAACAATTATATAATTATATCTTCAGTTTTTCCTTCTCTAGTTAATTAAGATGTCATCAGAAGCCCCATAAGTAATGACAACTATATAGAGAAAACCACAGATGTATTAGCAGATTTTTAAAATAAATAAAACCTTGGAAGATGGTTGAGGCATACTGCATGGCTCACTCCTGGTCATTTATGCTAGAGAAATAAATATGTATGTGAGCCAAAACAGAAGGGCATCAATCTGAAATCCGCACACTTATTTCAAAGCATCAAATGCTCCCTCTAGGAGCAGTATCTCTCCGGCACCAGGCACAAGCACAGAAATTTGATCTATACCCAATAAATTACTGATTTCCAGCCAGAAGGAGTTAACTACGCCAAGTAGTAACAGCCCATTGGTAAGAAAAGGGCATCCATTAGGGTACTACCTCCCTTTTCTAAATGCATGCTCTTGGGACAAGGAATCCCTTTATATGGCTCATGATAACAATGAGGGAAAAAAGCTTGAAACGAAAAATAAATGGAACAAAGTCATACAGTCCTCAGAGCAGCTTCATATATCATTACTACTTCTTATGCGTTGTGTCTCGTGTTTATTCTCTCGGTAGCTGCTGAGTGACCAAATATGTATCCCCATTGGTATGTGTGCTCCAAACCCAGACATATTATTAGCCAGGTTAATACTTTATTAGTGAAACTTTAAAGGGCTGGGAAGTGTAAGAATGCCCTAGTCAGTTTCCAGGTTAGTAGGTCAGATTTTGAGTTTAGTTCCTTATGGAATTTGGATGAATAGTGACTCTATCCCAGCA